CTCCTCTGGCACAACTTGAGGCCATTTCCTCTTGTCACTTGTTCCTTAGGAGCAGAGACGATCTCAGTCCCCTTCGCCCCCTGCTCAGTCTGCACCAGCACCGCTAAAAAGAGGTGCCAGAAGGAGCTGAGCAAGCTGAAAAATATCCAATTATCAGCCAATATCTGGGGTTTGCATCATCCCAGGAGCCACTGTGCTCTTGCTCCAACAGGCACAGAGCCCCAAGGAAGAATCTCTGGCCGGGGAGGGCAGCGGTGATGCCAGCCCAGGGTAGCCACGTCCTTCAGGAGCGTCCCTTGCCCTGGGCAAAGTCACTCACTCCGTGAGAGCTCCAAGCGGATGCAGATTCTCGCTTGAACACAACAGTTTTTTACCTGGCAAAGGTCAGGGAAGGAAATTGGACACGTTCAATAAGTGTTAAAATAAACTCACAGTGGTCCTGTGCTGGAGTGTTTCTCTAGGGCTCACAATGGCATTCATTACTCAGCTGGCATCGGGTTTGTTTTGCTGGTAACAAAATAATCTACATCCTCTTCCTCCTGCGTCCCAGGCGCCTTCTCTCACACTCTTGTCTCTTTTTGTTCATTTCACTGTAGTTATTCTTGTGCGGTGACATTCCTGGCTTGACATTTCTGTCTGTTGTACGGAAGGAGTGTGCAGCTCTTAAATACTTTACTCATCTTTTTGTTGTTTTAAGTCTCTTTTCATCTTTTGGTTTTTTTCTTCCTTAAGTTTCCTGCTTTGAGCTTTCTGGATGATTTCATGACCTGGGTTAAGGCGCCTGATAACTGTAAAATTACACTTTTCACCCTCAGGGCACAGTGTGTGCTGGTACTGCAGGTTGGCTGAAAGGTACAAATGGGTGTAAGAGGTAAGAATTCTCTAGCTGAGGATTTCTTTCCTCTGAATTAGAATGCTGTTTTACATTACACCTGCTTTGTACTCTGAGGGAGCTGTGTGGGCATAAATTGAAACAAGAGAGGTTCACACTGGACATAAGGAGAAGTTATTAGAATCACAGAAGGGTTTGGGTTGGAAGTAGCATTAATGACCATCTTTTTCCACTCCCCTGCCATGGGCAGGGAGACCAGGTTGCTCCTGATCTCCTTGGTGAAACATGTTGAGATCTCTTAATGTGGGCTTGCCTCATTCTCCTTCCTCCTCTGTTGTGCCAACTCTGAAGTTTCAGCGCCAGCTCCTCTGAGGTGTGAAAGGCAGAGTCAACAAAGCACAGGGACTTCAAAAGAGCCAAGTTTCTGAAGGACACACTGCTAAGCAGGGCTGGCTCCTCGCTGTCGGAGCTGGGAACAGCCCTCTGAGCAACCTCTGCCCTCACCTTCTCAGGCTGTGTGCAAGTGCCCTGGAGATTTCTAATCCTAGCATAATTTGAGGCTAGGCTCTGCATGTGATTTGTACCAAGGCATTTGGGTCCCTTGGAGCCCCTTCAGGTTCTGGAAGGGCTCTGAGGTGTCCCTGGATCCTTCTCCTCTCCAGGTGAGCACCCCCAGCTCTCCCAGCCTGGCTCCAGCCCTGGAACATCTCTGTGCCCTCCTCTGGACTCTCCCCAGCAGCTCCACGTCCTCCTGCTGATGGCCCCGGGGCTGGGGCAGCTCTGCACGTGGGGTCACACTTGGACATTCCTCTGGTGTTCCCGAAGAACTGCCATCCCTCCCTAGCTGAGCTCTTCTGGGAATCTTTCCTGAAAGCAGTGCTGTGATGGGTGTTTAATCAGCAGCAGTGATTTTGGCTGGCCTGAAGTGGTGCTGGCTGTCCCAGATGGCAGGGTGACCCCTGGCAGGGGTCTGGCCAGCTGCTGGGGACAAAAAGTAGATGAAAGCATCTTCAGCAGTGTCGATGAAGGACCAACAACACATGTGAGCTTTGCAAGTGGAAACATCAGCTCCTGGTGGCACGGGAAGCTTGGAGGAGCACGGAGCCTGGCTCCAAGATGGGCCAAAACATGACGAGTGCCCAGAGGAGTGCAATCAGCACAGAAACACGGGCTCTGACCCGTCTACCCAGGCCAGCAAGGAGCTTCCTTAAGTACTTCCTTACTGCACCCGTGGGGGACAGCCTGTGGCACTGCCTGACACGTGCATTTCCTTGTTTTTCTTCCCCTTTGGCACAGCCTTGGGAACGTGCTTCTTGGAGTCAATGAGCAGAGCAGGGTGGGGGCAGAGCCCTTCTGCCTGTGGGACACATCCACCAAGATCCTGCCCCAGTGACCGATCTGGGGATCTCAGCCCCAGCCAACACTCCCAACACTCCTGAGCAAAGTGCATTCTGGAATAAAATGCTTGTGGGATTTGAGTGGTGCTGGTGTTCTGTGTAGGGAGGCTGGCTGATGTTTCCATGTGATACCTGGGAACCTGGCGTTATTGGATCAAGTCAAAACCAAACCACAGCTTAAGGCTTCCCAGCACCAGAGTCAGGGATGCTCCTTCAGGGTAGGCTGCTTCTCCTGAGCCTGTGTGGCTCCAGGGCACACACTGAACTCCTGCACGTTCCAAATCATTTGTGTCATTGGTACGTACCATTGGCAAATGGGCCTCGAGTACAATTTCCTTGGAAAAAAAAAAAAAAAAGGATTTTGCTGAAAGGCTTGTGGCAGTGTGGGGAGGGGGGTGCTGTGCTTGGGGGTTCCAGAGGCAGCCCGAGTCGGGCACTCTGCTGTCAGCTCTGCCCCTGATGCCAGCACAGCTCTGTCACCTCTCTGTGACATCCCAGCCTTGCCAATCTCAACAGGAATTTTGTCCCAGCCTTCACTGGAGCCAAGATGTTGCCCTTTGCCTCTGTCTGTAGCTCCTTGTGAGCTGTGACAGTCCCTCTTGCCAGGCACCTGTTTCACAGCCACCACCTCTGTCCTCCCCTCCTCTTCCTGCTATTAAGCCCTGGCTTGCATTAGCCCTACAATTCCCAGAGGGAGGCTCTCCTGCCCGAACAAACCAGGCACTCCAACAAATTGGTGAGGATTGCAGAGGCTCTGCTAATGGTTAAGGCACCCAGAGGAGAAGGTACAACAGTGCAGCAGACTGCTGTATCATGGACACCAAAAAACCCCCACTCTGCTTTAGGAACACCCAACCCTGACAGAAGGATAAAATGTGAGCCATCCGTGGCCCCCTTCCACACAGATTTCCGGCCTGGCTCAAAAGCAGGATGTGCACAGTAAATAGGGCAGTGACGCCACCACGCTGCTCTGCCGTGTTGTTTACGAGGGTCCCAGCCCCGTGACACACAGAAAGGAAGAGCCCCTGGCTTTCATCTCCAGGCAAGAAGCGGGGGCTCAGTCATAAAAAAAAGGAAATAACTCACTGCAAGCACGCTGTTGGTGCAAAATATGAGTCTCTCCTGCCAAGACAGAGACACGGAGCAGCTCTCCTGGAGTTGGTTGAGGCAATGATCCCATCCTAAGGAGCTGGGTGCTGCTCGGTTCCTGGTGAGGTTCCTGGTGGCTTTTTCCCCCCTTTTTTCTCCTTTTCATTGAGAGAATGGCCCAACAAGGGAAGCACCTTTCCTTCCTTGCAATAACACAGCAGTTGACCTTGTCAGCCGACCGAATTACCTGTGGTGACAAAGGGCACATTACCAGAGAGGTGTGTTTGTGATAAAAGCAAGGGCTCAGTAACATGGTGATTGTTCTATAACATCAGGACATACTTTCACACGCTTAGCATGGTTGATAAGCTGGAAGGGCTGCAGGCTGGGAACGTTTTAATGTTTTGACCATGACCATGTTTTAATGGTTGACTCATTAGCAGTTCAACCAGATTTGTTTTCTACATTTGCAATAAAAAGCTGAGGTGGGAACATTTTCTCTTTCACAGTCCCAGGGTGATGAACTGCAGCTCTCATCAGCACCTCAGCAATATAACAACTTTATTTACAGTCCACAGCCTTGTGGCACCAGCACAGAGTTAAGGGGTTGGAAGGGAACTTAAAGCTCATCCAGTTCCACCCCCTGCCATGGCCAGGGACACCTTCCAGCAGACCAGGTTGCTCAAGGCCTTATCCAACCTGTCCTGGAACGCTTCCAGGGTTGGAGCATCCACAATTATCCTCATTTTACCCCAGAATCCTAATTTTAGCCTGTTTTGAGCAGGCTTGTGATTGCCCAGCTGCACTGGGATGTCCTGTGCACATTCCCTACCTGTGTCCCCCATCACCACTGCAACGTTCCCTCCTCACCCTGTCCCCCACCCTAGTGCCCCATGTCCCATACCCTACTGTGAGAGGGGTCCCTTCTCTCCTCCCTGTGCTCCTCCTGCAGCCCTGGCCCTATCAGCCACCCCCAGGCCCATGACCTCCTCCCCGTGCCTTATGTGCTGTCCCCTATCTCTAACCCCTGTCCCTGGGCACTAGCTCCCTGTCCCCAGTCTCCTATCCCCTGCTTCCAATCCCCCACCACAGGCCCCATCCCTGGTAACCTCCTTTGGGCCATGTCCCTGTTCCCCACTCTCCAACCCCAAACCACCATCCTCTGTCCTGCTGTTCCCTCTCCCCTGTTCTCCACGTTCCCATTCACCATGTCTGTGCCCTGTCCCCATCCTCTCTCCCTGCATGCCTGTCCCCTACCCATGTCCCCCATCCATTTCTGTCCCCTCTGCCTTGTTCTCCCCTCCCTGCCCGTCTCCATTCCCAGCGCCTCTCCCAATCGCCACGCTGCTGTCCCCATACCCAAAGAGCCCGCCCCGCTGCGTGGTCACATCACTCTGCCCGTCCCTATCCTCGCCTCCCGTTTCCATCCCCGCCCCTTGCTCCTACCCCGCCTCCTTTCCTGCCCCCGCCTTCTATCCCCGTCCCCGCTGCCTTTCCGTGTCCCCATCTCCGCTGCCCGTCTCTGTGCCCCAGCCTGTGCCCCCATCCCCGTCCCCGTCCCTTACCCGGTTTGCTGCTGGGCGCTGGCCCCACCCGGCGGTGATCCCGGCGGTGATCCCGGCGGTGATCCCGGCGGTGATCCCGGCGGTGTTCCCGGCGGTGTCCCCGGCGGTGCTGTGGCCATGTCGCGCTGTGTGGCGGTGCGGGTGCTGCGGCTGGGCGCGGTGCCGTACGCGGAGGCGCTGCGGGTGCAGGAGCGCTGCGTGGCGGCGGCGCGGGCGGCGCGGGGCCCGGCGGCGCTGCCGGGGCCGGGGCAGGGCCGGGGCGGCCCGGAGGCGCTGCCGGGGCCGGGGCCGGGCCCGGGCGGCCTCGAGGCGCTGCCGGCCGAGACCGTGGTGCTGAGCGAGCCGGCTCAGCCCGTGTACACCTGGGGGCTGCGCGGCGCTCCGGGCGCGGCGGCGGCCGCGGCGCTGCGGGCGCGGGGCGCGGCGCTGGTGGCGGCGCGGCGCGGAGGCCACATCACCTTCCACGGCCCCGGGCAGCTGCTCGCCTTCCCCGTGCTCGACCTGCGCCGCCGCCGCCTCCCGCTCCGCGCCTACGTGGCCGGGCTGGAGGCGCTGGTGGTGCGGCTGTGCCGCCGGCTCGGGCTGGGCACGGCCCGCGCCCTCCCGCCGCCCTTCACCGGGGTCTGGATGGGCGACAGCAAACTCTGTGCCATCGGTGAGCGGGGACGGCTCCGGGAGAGGGGGTGTGCCTGCAGCCGGGCTGGCGGAGCTGGGAGTGCTCCACGTGCAGAACGGAAGGCTCCAGGGCCTAAGAAGGCTCCAGGAGGAATGGCTTCCCACTGCCAGAGGGCAGCCTTAGATGGGATGTTGGGAAGAAATTCTTCCCTGTGAGGGTGGGCAGGCCCTGGCACAGGCTGCCCAGAACAGCTCTATCCCCCATCCTTGGAAGTGCTCGAGGCCAGGTTGGACATTGGGGTTTGGAGCAACCTGAGATAATGGGAGGTGTCCCCGCCCATGGAACACCTCCCAGCCCAGCCCATCCTGTGATCCCATGTGCATCGTGGCAGGGCACAGTGGCAGAGGGCTGTAGGCACCGCGGAGGGCAGGTGTGCACAGGGGAGCATGCAGGGGTGGGATTTGCATCCAGGAGGAAAGGCAGCACAATTCTGAGCCCCAGCACTTTGCACCCCTGCACCTACTAGGCTCTTGCTCCCACGGCTGGGTGCCTGCCTGCAGCCCAGTCCCCTTCCCTTGCTCCCCCTCCATATCCTGTACCTCCTCCTGAGATCCTGCAGCTCTCCCCATGTCCAAGCCCATAGGAAACTCCAGCGGTGGGAGCTGCTGGGGGATGCAGGGGCTGGGGTGGAGGGATCTGGGCATGCTGTGCCCCAGATTTGGGAAGCCTGTCTATGGGTTTTCCCTGGCAGAATTGAGGGAAGCGTGGTGAGAGGAGGACGTTTACAGTGGTGTGGGCAGTGTGGTCACTCAGTCTCTGCCACCAGGGCACCCCTGTGATGGTGCTGACGGGTGGGTGCTCTTGGCCCCTGCAGGTGTGCACTGCAGGAACCACATCACGTCGCACGGGCTGGCGCTGAACTGCTGCACTGACCTCACCTGGTTCGAGCACATCGTCCCCTGCGGGCTGGAGGGGAAGGGGGTCACCTCTCTGAGCCACGAGCTGGGCCAGCACGTCGCCGTCAGCCACGTCCTCGAGCCCTTCCTCGACTCCTTCCAGGAGGTGTTTGACTGCACTTTGGTCTCTTCAGAAGACCCCGGGGATTAGGATTGCTGTGGTGCCTTGGCCGGGTGTTTTGGCGAAGCCACGGCGTCAGGGCAGCGCTGGGGGCTCTGTGGTGAGCCGAGTTCTCGTGCCTTTGCCTGTAGACTGTGAGTGGACAGTGGCACAGGGCTTCAGGCTGCTGCTTAAACGTCCAAACCTCCACTGGGGCTGTTCTCTCCAGCCTCGTGAGTCTCCATCCCTCGGCTGAGACCTCCATGGGTACCACATGCTCATGCCACTTGCTGGGGAAGTAATCAAACAGGTGCTTTTGTGGGTTTTTTTCCTGCTTTTTGCCCCACAAAAATTAATCGTCTCTGTGAATGCTGATGAATTCATGTGGGTCAAGCATCCTTCCCTTGCTGAAGGGTAAAAAAGGCAGATTTTATATATAAAGAGAGTTGCTGGGAACTTTGGCTGCTGATCCCTTTTTCATTTATTTGCCCCAAGACTTTATCAATGATAACTATTTTCTCATCCTGAGCCCAGAGAAGTCCTCACGTGGCAAAGATCCTGGTGTCAGGGAAGGTGGAAGATGGCTGTAAATGGCTGGTTAAAAGGCCATTGGAGCACTGTGGATGCAGTGGAAAAGCGGGAGGAGGAGGGAAAAGGGTCACAAGGAGAGAAGCCACGGCTCTTTTGGATGCTGTGGGACTAGGCAGCATCCTGGCTGGGTGATGGACACCTGCTCCCACTGGGTCTGTGGTGCTGGAGGAGGTGCTACCGTCAGCACTTCTGAAATAACTGTACCAGCTACAGCACCAGAAGCTGATTTAATGGACAAGTGATTTAATGCACCCTGCTCAGAGCAAGACTTGACCCCCACCCACAGCCCCTCACTGCTGTTCTGGGTCTTCTCCCTGCCCCACAAGCTCCGGGGTTTCTCTGCTGCTGCCCAGCACTGGCAGCTCCTTGTGAGCCACCCGTGGGTGCCCAATGGGGCTGGAAGGGGGGGAAATCCCATTCCATGGGGCAGGCTGAGCTCCAGGAGGGAACGGTGAGCAGGAGGAACATGCCCAGGCAGGCTCAGTGCCAGTGTGAGGGCTCGGGGACAGCGGTGCCGGACGAGGAGGGACAGGAAAGCGTGACCGGCAGCGTGTGCCGGGGGAAGCGCAGAGCCCCGCTCTCCGCCCCCAAACCCCCGCGATCGGCTGGGGCCAGCGCCCTGGCAGGACCCCGGCTGGGGACAGGCTGGTGGCCCCGGCGGGGCTGTGTGGCTGTGGCAGGTGGCTCTGCCCCGGGAAGGGGAGGAGGCTGGCGACACTCCCAGCCCGGCCGGCATCCCTCCCCGCCGGCTGTGATGCTCAGTCCCGGCTCAGCCTGGCAGCGGCGCAGGGAGGGCACACGAGGTGAGTGCGAGCCTCCTTCCCACGCCTTGTGCCCCACTCCTCTCCCTGTCCTTACACCCCTCCCTAAGGTGGGACCCCTAAGTCGTACCCCATCTGTGGGTCTCCTCCTGGGATAAACCCAGATCTTGTCCTAAACCTCCGAAATTCAGCCTACTACTTGTCTTAAGTCAGGAAGGCAGCCAGATCCGACCTCAAACCAGTGGACTCGTGGCTGCTCAGCCTCTTCTTCTTCCTCCTCCTCCTCCTCCTCCTCCTCCTTGCAGCTGGGTCTCATCCTGGGAGGTGCACCCCGAGTTAAGGGTTACCCGTTTGGGAGGGGGATCAGCTGCCTCTGCACGGGGCAGAGCTGCTGGTGCAGCAGGCAAGGGGTGCTCAGGAGCTGGTGGGGGACAGCGTGGGTACCTGGGGGGACCAGGTGTCCCAAAGGATGGCATACGTGGGGGACTGTGTCCCAGTGTCCCTTCCTGGCCATGCCTGCTCTGGGGCCCCAGCAAGGTGTGAAGGTGCACAGGGGAGCCCAGAGGGGCTGGCAGAAGAGCACCGTGCCAAAGGAGGGATGGCAGGTCAGAGGAGGTCTGGCACCCAAAGAGAAGGGAAATCCCCGGAGAGGTTTAGGGCAGCAACCCCTCAAGGTGGGTTCACAGTGATCTGTGGGAGGCTGTGCCGGATATGTGCCCACCATGGTCACACATCCTGAGGAAAAGCAGACTTTGAACCCAGCCCTCCTGGTCCCTCAGGACAGCTGTGTCCCTACACTGTCCCCAGCCCTGGGGAGGAGACGGGGGTAGGCAGAGCCCTGGGAGCTTTATCTCTTCTATGGAAGGACTGAAATTTAGGGAGAAGGCTACTGGGCATACAAATGGTTTGGCCACCCTGCTTTGTGGCAGAGGAGATGCTTTGAGGACCAGTTTGGGGTCACACCTCGGCTGTGAAGGCAGCTTCTTCTGAGTCTCCCTGTCCTTCCCTGCAGCCTGCGGAGGACATGGACGAGAAGAACCGGACGGAGACCTGGCACGAAAGCCTGCAGGCAGTGCTGAATGCCTTAAACCAGACCCTGCACGGGGCCATCCCCTGTCCCGGCCAGGCCCCGGGCAGCGCGGCGGGGGCCACGCGCAGTGACCGCGCCGGCCACGCCGGCCGCAATGACAACGCCTACATGTACATCCTGTTCGTCATGACGCTCTTCGCAGCCACCGTGGGCAGCCTCATCCTGGGCTACACCCGCTCCCGCAAGGTGGACAAGCGCAGCGACCCCTACCACGTCTACATCAAGAACAGGGTCTCCATGATCTGAGCCCGGCCCGCGCCTTGTCCCCGGGGAGCCGCTGGGCTTGGGGTCACCTTGCTCTGCACACCCCGCTCGCTGTGGGGTGTGACAGTGCTGCTGGCCTCAAAGCTGCTGAGAACCCCCCAAAGCTGCTGAGAACCTCCCAAAGCTGCTGGGAACCCTCACCATGGAGAAGCTCAGTCCTGGTGGAGCAGCACCGGGATGTCCTGGCTGGCAGGAACTGGAAGAATGTGACCTACAAGCAGGTCCTGTTCCTGCAGACCCACCTTGGCTGCACTGTGGGCATGAGGATGGAAGAGGCAGCTCTTTTCCCACCGTGGCCTGCAGGGGCTGGCAGGAGCTTTCAAGGAGAATATTTCCCTATTTCCCTCCTCAGATCAGCCAGCGTTGACCTCCCTGGGCTCCCAGCAGCTGTGACAGTGGTTAGCGGGTTTTTCTGGTGCCAAAACCCTGTAATGTCTGAGCTGGGCTGGGCCCTGCTTTTCTGGCAGGGAATTAAAGGAGGTGGTGGGTTCCAGGGGACTTGTGTTTGCTTCTCCTCCGAGCAAAGTTGGTGTTTGGGTCAATCCACAGGGCACCATTCTATGCCAGAGCCCAGGGATGCTGAAAGGGCCAAACTGCTGCCTGTGTGCTGCCAAGGTGGATTCAAGGGCAGCATCCCAGCCTCCAGGATGGGACAAGTGCCCAGCTGGCTGCTTTGTCCCCGTTGCTGTCCAGGCAGCTGCTGGAGCTGTGGGCACGCTGTGAGCGTGGCCCGAGGCTGGCCGGAGGCGTGTGGCTCCAGGCATCTCCCAAGGTCTCTCCTGGCTCCGGATGGCGATGCCGGAGTCTTTCCTGCTTCCTTCCTGCTGTCAGCTGTAGCTTTGGCCTTTTGTACCGCAGGTCCCAAATGTGTTTTCCATGGGGTGAGGGCGCAGCGGTGGACGGGAAGGGGATGTTCTTGGGTCCTGCTGGGCTCCTTGGCTTTCACTCGGCTATTAAGCTGGCCACTGTGGAGTGGCCAGTGTCCAGGACAGTAAATGTCCCTGTCTTTCCAAACAGGCTGTGGGGCAGCGCCAGTGACCCAGTGTCTCACACGTCCTAACCTGTTCATAATGGCATAATGAATGTCTTTAATTGCAGCTAGATTAGCTGGCCCATAGGGGCCTTTCCGCCTGCATTCCAAGGTTAAACAGAGTTGCAATCCTGAGCCCAAACAGTGACGCCAAACCCTAATCCAAAAAAGAACAGTGGATGTGAGCGTGTTTGGGGTAGGGCTGGAAACCTTGGCACCGGAGGCATGGGGACGGCAGCAGCTTAGCGACCAAATTCCTGATTTGCCATGCCCTTGGCTTGGGCACAAAACCTGGAGCAGCGAGTTCTGGAAAGCCCATTCTGGGGCTGATCCCAGTGGGATCCCTGAGCCAAGCAGGGCTTTTTGGGGCACAGGTGTCCTCCGGCACCTGGCACGAGGGGGAAGTAGCTCAAGAGGCTTCACTTTGTTTATCTTGCACCTGCAGAGCTGGGAAAGGAAAATAAACCCTTTATCTGCAAATAAATCAGGGGCCAGGTGGAGACAGAGACACACACTATGCTGATCCTTTTTCCTCCACCTCCCCGGGTTTGTCCTCCTCTAACACCAGCCCCTCCAGCGGGATGAGCCGTGGAACAGCCAGGTCTGGGATGTGGGACCCTGCAACGGGATGGGGGTTGGATGGTGAGTGTGGTACCCCCAAATCCCTCCAGTGATGTGCAATTCTTGCTGTTCCCACTTTTGGGAGAGAGGGGTGAATCTGGTGAATCTCTTCTAATGCTGTGACCCAAAGGAAAAAATCCTGTTGAAGGATAACATGTCATAAAAATTTGGAAAAAAAAAAAGCTGCTGTTCCCTAATCCAGAAGATTCTGAGGGTGAAAATCCCTCCCACAAGACACAGCTCCTGCAGCAATGGTTACTCACCCGATCTGCGATCCATTGGCAGCTCCGCTGTCCATCCATCCCTGCTGGTAAATTCGGAACAGGGCAGGGCTGGGCTGTGGGGACGCCCCGGGTGCCCCCACCCTGGAGCCGCCGGCTGGATGCCACCAGACTGGGTGACAAGATGCCACTGCCACCTTGTGGCAGCTGCCTCAGGGTCCCGGTGTCACATGCCCGGGACACCCCGGCACCCCTGGGGCAAGATCATTAGTGTTGGCTCTGTCTCCTGCCTGGCTGTCCTTGTCCCCATGGCTGCCCCAGCTCCAGCCTGGCTGGGTGTTCCTGGGATCCGTGATCTGGGGCAGCTTGACAAAGAGGGCTACAGAAACAGGGATATATGAGGGAAGGATGGATTTGGGAGCCTCCTGAGTTGGGTTTGCTTCAGGAGCCAGGGGGAGGATTTTGCAACTATTTAGATGTTTATCCCAGAGCTCAGAGATTCTTCCTGGGAGCCGATGGGCTCTGGCCTCACGTCCCTGGACTGCAGCCCCAGGAGCACACGATTCCTGGGTCACACTCACAAAGCTGTTGTTAACAGCAAGGAGATGTTAGAACACAGAGAGAAGAGCTGGGAGTGTGCTGGTCTTGGCTCAATCCCTAAATCCAGCTGAGCAAATTGTAGCTGACTACATTTGGGTTTTAAGCAATGCAGCCAGGGAAAAAAACAACGCTCCTGGGAGGCTAATTTATATAAGGCTTTTTTTGTTGGAACACATCAATGGATCACGGGTGAGACGCTGTCTGGTACTTGTATATCAAAATGTGTGGGAAGTTTGGGCTGACCTTGGCTTAGCTGATCAATGGTTGGATTGTTGGAGCAGCGGGAATCACAGGAGCCTGTTCCTGGGACTGCTTTGATGCTGGGCATTCCGATAAGGAATGCACGAGGTGAAATGATAGCGGCTCAGGGTGAGATCAGGGAATGCCGAGCTGCCAGCACGGGCTGCCTCGGGTCATTCAGGTTTGGAACAGGACATTTGGAATTGCTCAGCCTGACTGGGCAATGGGAAGCTGTGTTCCAGGGGAGCTGCTCCTCCAGGAGAGCAGTCAGTGCTCTGTGGGGAGCGGGTGCTGGCCAGGGAAGAGCTGCTGTCCCCTCAGGAGTGTTGAGCCAGGCTCACATCACCAGTGCTGCTGTGCAGCCTGAGGGACAGAGGGGTCACGACGGGGAAAATTGATTTTGGGAATCCAAAAATTTTGGGAATCCGGGAATGGTGAAGGGAGCTGCTCCTGCCGTCCCTTTGGGACCAGAGCAGAGGTTTTTCCTGTGGCTCTGACCTGTATGTTACAAACTGCTTTTAAAGCATATTTAGAGTGCTCTGCTCCCGAGGAAGCTAAGGAGTGTGCTGTGGTGCCAGAACGTGTGGGATCAGGCCTTCCCAAAGCCGACATCTTGAAGCACCGAGCCAGGGGCAGTTGCAGAACTTCAAAAGCCATTTCCTAATGCCAGTAGTCCCTGCTGCATCCTTCCCATCCTTGCCACCTGTGCTCTGTGTCCATGCTCTGCCTGCAGAGTGCCTGCACTCCATCAGGACAAAGCCTTCCCCTGCTGTGACCCCAGATCTGCTTAAAACCCGGCATTCCAGCCCAAAAAGGCACCTGTGCCGCTGGCCTGTGGTGACAGGTCAGCAGGGATGTCCTCACTGCCTGCCTGGAGCATTCCACTGCCTTCCCAACAATCCATGGCTCTGGGAGGGAAGGGAAAGCTGGACTTGCTGTGTCATTACCAGGGAACCCAAAAGGCCTGCGAGAACTAATGGGGTGTTCTGGAGACATAAATAATACACAAAAATTGTGCCCCAGAGCCAGGGAGTGCACAGTGCTGAGAGGCTCAGCCACCAGCTGCAGGAACACACTGGGGTCATGCCACACGACCCTGGCTCTCTGCAGAAATTGGGAGTGGAAAAGTAACCTGCAATGTCATGGGGGCTCCAGGCTGTTTGTACACGATGTGGAATAAACTGTGCAGATTGCCATGGAAACGCTGGGTTCCTCCCCAGGCTCCCGGCAGCTGTGAGATCACGGGGCTGATCCCGTTTGTTGTGCGAGGATTTGGGCTGTGGAACCAGACCCCTGAGGATGCTAATGGGATGGGACAGATGTTTCTAATTCTGATGTGTGCCTTAGCCCTTCTTGTGGGCTGATCCCGTATCGTGGGCAGCAGGGAAGGGAGATTCTGCCCCTCTGCCCCTGTGCTCAGGTGAGACCCCACCTGCAGAGCTGCCCCAGCCCTGGAGCCAGCAGCAGGAGGATGTGGAGCTGCTGGAGAGGGTCCAGAGGAGGCACCAGGATGATCAGAGGGATGGAACCCCTCTGCTATGAGGAAAGGCTGACAGAATTGAGATTGTTTAGCCCAGACTAGAGAAGCTCCATGGTGACCTGATTGTGGCCTTCCAGTAGCTGAAGGGAACCTACAAGAAAGACAGATTTTTTTACAAGGGCCTGGAGTTCCAGGACAAGTCTGCCTCAAAACGAGAGAATGGGTTTAGAGAGTAGGAGGGAATTCTTTGCCCAGAGAAGCTGCCCCTGGATCCCTGGAAGTGTCCAAGGCCAGGCTGGATGGGGCCTTGACCAGCCTGGCATAGCAGGAAGTGTCCCTGCCCATGGCAGGGCTGGGACTAGAATTGGTCGAGTCCCAGATGTGCCTCTGGGTTTGCTCGTGGCTGCAGGAGTGATGCCTGCACAGTGCCACAGTCCCGTGTGGGTGCTCACACTCCTCAGGCTCCACTGGGAGAAGCCATTCCCTCCTGCTGAGCCCTGCCACGGTCCCTGCTGGCCCTGGCAGCGCCCAGCACACGAGCTGGCGCCTGCCAGCAGCCTGGCAGCCCTTCTCCTCCCAGCCTGGCCCCCATCCATCGCTGGCAGCCCGGCCTCTCCCTGGCTCCCGGTCCCCGGGCTGTTTGCTGCTGCTCATTTTGCTCCGCGCGTGCTGCACCTCAATCAGGCGAAACGATGCACGAGGGTGGAAACATAGAAACCTTGGCTTTCCTTCACTCACAGATTAATTGCTTGTGTTCTGGCTTCTTTTTCCACCACCATGAGAGCTGGAAAATTTGTTGCTAGCAGCAGATGAAAAGAGATGCTTGTGGTGGCAGGCAGAGAGCCTGGGGAGGCCCTACAATCCCCCCGGAGTGCCTGGGAGAACTGTGCACACTCCAGTCATGCCAGCAGATGGGACCGGGTTTAACTTTCCTGGAGCAAGATAATCAGCTTTAAAAATTCTTCTGGAGGCTGATTAACCCTCGAATACCCTCAAAACCCTTAGTTGTCATCTCCCACGAGGTCAGTGTTTTCTCCAGGCCAACACAGCAAATCTCCATCAGCATGATATAAGTGTATCCCCATAATCTTTTTCCATGATTGCCCTGCTCTGGAGCTGCTCAGGCTGCCTGGCATCTGCCATGGGGTGCCTTGGAGCTAGAGATCCAAAGCCTTCTCTCAGGGAAACATATGGGAGCTAATCATCACTTCCCGAGGTGGGGTGCACTAGTGAGATCCTGGGAAGTACCAAACCCCTTGTGCTGCAGTTATTCCTAGTAAGGAAATAAGTTTTATCCTCCACGAGATTATTTTGTTCTCCAGGGGAATAATCATGGAGGAGTGCTGACATGGGAGAGAAGGATACTTCTCCCATCTTTCATCTGTTTCAGGCTCCAGGGAGAGCTCAGAGCCCCTGCCAGGGCATAAAGGGGCTCCAGGAGAGCTGGAGAGGGACTGGGGACAAGGCATGGAGGGACAGCACACAGGGAATGGCTTCCACTGCCAGAGGGCAGGGATGGATGGGACTTGTGAGGGTGGCAGGTCCCTGGCACAGGGTGCCCAGAGAAGCTGTGGCTGCCCCTGGATCCCTGGCAGTGTCCAAGGCCAGGCTGGACACTGGGGCTGGGAGCAACCTAGGACAGTGGAAGGTGTCCCTGCCCATGGTACGGGGTGGGAATGACATAAGCTTTAAGGTCTTTTCCAACCAAAACCATCTGCGATCTCATGATTCTATCCCTCTGCAGTGCCTGCTGTCACTATGGCAACCCCTGCTGGGACATGCTGTGGGGTGGGGATGCTCTGTGGGATTGAGATGCTCTGTGGGACTGGGATGCTGTAGGGGATTGGGATGCTCTGTGGGGTGAGGAGGCTCTGTGGGGTGAGGATGCACAGCAGGATGAGGATGCTCAGCAGGATGTGGTCACTCCGAGCCTGCTGTTCAGGGACAAACAACCCAATTAGAGCTGCTGCAGCCAGGGGAGGGCTATGCTTCTCCTCCTAATGGCTTTGGAATTGCCATCTGGAAACGCTTCTGAGCAAGCGGCTCACCCCCCAGGGCAGCGCCTCACCCATGACCTTCTCGGACGGAACACATGCTGCTGTGGGCAGCCCAAGCAGCACTGCCGCGGAGGGTTGTAGCTTTCCGTGGGATCCACCACGCAGGACGAGGACGGTGCCCGTTCGTGAGGTGTAGGGGACACACGGGACATTGTTTTTCACACGGCGGGACGCGAAGCCTCAGCCCCTCAGCCCCCGCCCGCTTCCTGAGGCGGCCGGGCGCCGCGAAGGCTGCTGGGAGTTGTAGTTTCTCCCGCCTGCCGTGCCTCCCTGCCGCGCCTCAGGGACTACATTTCCCGTCATGCCCCGCGGAGGGCCGTGGCGGGGCGGGGGCTCGGGGCGGGCCCGCTGGGGCAGGAGGAGGAGGAGGAGGAGGTGGCGGCGGCGGGGGAGGCTGCTCCCCGTTAATCGCCGCTGGAGAAGAACCGGCCCCGCGGGACCGCCCAGCGCCCCTCGCCCTCCTCCGCCTTTTCTTCCCTCGCGGGCGATGCGCGGTGCGGCGGCGGGCGTGGCGAAGTGAAGAAGCGGCGCCTTCTCCGTCTTCATCCTCTTCTTCCTCCCTCCTCCTCCTTCCCGCGGCCATGGGCGACTGCGAAGCCCCCGGGGACGTGAACTCCAACATGCTGGTGGCCCGCAGCACCGGGGACGCGCAGCTGGACAAGGCGGTGTGGCAGTGGCTGAGCTGGGACAAGGTGGGCGAGCAGCGGCGATTCCCCGGAGCCCCCCGTGCCCCTCCCGGCTGCGGCACCCCCGGCCCGCTCCTCCTTCCCTCCCTTCCTTCCTTCCCTTCCCTTCCCTCCCTCTCTCGCTGCCCTTGGAACGCAGCCCTGGGTCCGGCAGGTGCGCCAGGTGCTCCCGAGCAATCCCTCAGCCGCGCAGGGAAGGTGCGGCTGTGCCCGCCCGGCACTCACCTGAGCGGGGAGGGATGGATGGATGGAGCCATCCT